AAGTGGGCTTCGCCCGCCTGGTACCGGATCCAATGTATCCATCAGCTCCACAGCTCACAGAGCTCTGCTGATCGCCACGGCGACGGCAGCCATTTCCAAGTCTCAACTGCCACACCTGTGACTCATCACAAAGCTCTGACACAGACCCAACTGACAGTTTCGATCAAAAGTTTCTCCGAACTCCTGCCCGCTGTTCAAAAACTATATGACAGAGCTTAATAATTCTTGGACCGTGAGCGCCTACAGAGTTTCAGGTCTCAGCCAGTGTATTTTATTTTCGGCTGCCCCCATTGGTTGGTTTTTTATGGCAATTTCGAAATGAGGTCCGATTTGGCAGTTGGTCCGACTTTCTCAAAATTCTTCCATTGAAATCCTATTGAAGAGGGTCGTGAAAGTCTGGACTGCATTTATTTATTTATTTATTTAATCAGGACAGTGCACAATAATGAACAATCTCATACAGATTGTAAATGAGCCAGATTATAGCATAGTTGCTAATTCGCTTCTATCGTCCTGAGGCAGGAAGAAAAAACAACACAAGATCACAAAATACAATATCAGTCAAAACAGAGAGACACACAGACAATGACATTACAATAATAAAATTAGTGAGTGCATGTCTGGGAACTTTTGAGAAACTGTTTAAGGTGCTTTTTAAATGTGCAATAAGTGGGACCTTCCCTGATGTTTGTTGGGAGGCTGTTCCAGAAGTGACTCTAATTCATGTATTTTTATGCATTTGAAGGTTTACATTTTGGTCTAACTAATACTTTTTTCTAGAATCATGTGTCCGTGCGACTGACCTTTTTGGTGCTCCTAACGGTGAACGTCCTCTGGGTGTAGAAAGCTCGGACTTTGCTTTTCTTCTCTGTCACCAGCAGGCTTCCGTAGTCCTCCTGGGTCTCCGAGGGCCAGAACCTGCCCCCCCCCCTCTGAAGAGAAAAGAAATCACAGGAATCACTGAAGAGTCAAAAGCCCCAACGAATCAAGCTCCAAAGAGGTTTTGTATTCAGAATCAGAATCAGAATCAGAAATACTTTAATAATCCCAGTGGGAAGTTATTTTTGTTACTCGCTCCATAAATAAAACAACAGCAAATACATATCTATACATATATTCGTATATATATATATGTATACAAAATTCCACATAGAATATAGATAAATATATACATAAATAACTTTATGTATATATATAGGTCAAAATAATAATAATAATAATAATAATAATAATAATAATAATAATAATAATTTCATGCATTTTGAACAAGGTTTATATAATAAAAGGTCAACGATTTAATTTAATTTAATTTTTATTCTCGCAAATGTTTGTTTTCTAAATTAAACTTCCAATATGTTACAGGAATAATTTATTAATTTTATCTAATATATTCAAAACAGTCAAATGCAGATGAACCTTCCTGTTTTCTCCACAGACAGACAGGATCAACCCATCAGCTACAGACAGTTTGACAAACGTTCACATATATTTGGTTTTACACAGAGATGCAGAACCCACTTTTCCTTTTCCCTCCTGATCGCTAATCATCACAATGACGCCAACGTTCTGGTCCCAGATCGTCTTCCAGAAGTCCTCTCTGCAGGATGCCAGAGGTCCTCTGGTGGTGATATAGGACTGGGACCCCTTTAAGCCCTGAGGGACACAAACCAGTTATGGATGTGCAAAAACCAGTACCGTGCTTTGTACGATAGCTAACATGCTAACATCAGAACACACTTAACATAGAAAACACCACATAGATAGATAGATAGATAGATAGATAGATAGATAGATAGATAGATAGATAGATAGATAGATAGATAGATAGATTGTAGATTGTAGATTGTATAGATTGTAATGTAAAGTGAAATTATTTGAAATGTATAATTGTTCTTATGATGTTATCATTTAATATGTTTTGTGTATCTATATAATTTTAAAAGGACCCCAGGAAGAGTAGCTGTCAAATTACTGACAGCTAATGGGGATCCAAATAAATAAACAATAAACAATAAACAATAGATAGATAGATAGGTTACAGTGTTGTGGGCAAAAGGAACATATGGAACTGGACTCTCTGTGAGGTGTAATAATAATTTAACTGTGTGTTAGACACGGATAAGAAGGAAAAGTGAGCATTTGGGACATTCGTCCGGCTTAAAAACAGCTTCTTACTTGCACATAGTTTGTGTTGATGCGGTCTGTCGACTTCCCTTCTTCACCAGAATCCAGTAAAAGCGGCGTCCTGTGGCGGTCTTCTGAAAGAGAAAAAAATACTTCAGACGGCAGCATCAAGGTAGACTTCCATCTTTTCCTATCTAAAGATAGCTCTCATTTAGTTCCTCCAGCCGATTCTAAACCTGCCTAATCCAGTGTAGCTACTTAGCTGGATTTATACTTTCTATCTGAAAAACACAATTCTGCCAGTAGGGTATTTAGTTTCTTTTGTGACACTATAAAGAGGTTGAAAGAATGTATAAATAGTTCGTCAGACCTCACGTTAGATAATAGCTGCTGATGTTTACTCACCAGCCGTGGTGTCGGTCTCTTTAGTTTCTTCAGGAAAGTTGGAGCTGTGGGTTTTCATCTGCATGTCCACTGTGCAAGCCTGTACAGCCAAAAAACAAACAAACAAACAAACAAATAAACAAACAAACAGACAAACAGACGAACAAACAAACAGACAAACAAACAGACAAACAAATAAACAAACAAACAGCCAACAAACAGACAAACAAACAAACAAACAAACAGACAAACAGACAACAAAAAACAAACAGACAGACAGACAAACAAACAAACAAACCAACAAACAGACAGACAGACAAAAAACAAACAAACAAACAAACAGACAGACAAACAAACAGACAAACAAAAAAACAGACAAACAGACAAAAACAAACAAACAAACAGACAAAAACAAACAAACAGACAAAAAACAAACAAACAAACAGACAAACAGACAAGATGGAACAAACCATAAGTGTTTCTCCCTGAGAATGTTATCTTAAATATTCACATGTGGGATATTATACGCTGATGTACTAGTCCCAGATGTTACAGAACATAATATAAACAACACTCAAAATCAAAATCCTACATCTAATTCTTCACAAGGATATAAATAAATAAGCTTTTGTGGACTGCTTTCTTTCAATTTAGTCAATTCTGTAAAATCAGAGCCAGCCTGTTTAGATGCAGGAAATCTGGTACATGCATTTATTACTTCAAGGTTGGACCTCTGTAACTCTTTATTATTGGGTTATCCCAAAAATTCTCAGAAACAAAAATCTATCTGATCCAAAATGCTGCATCCAGAGTTCTCATGAACATTAGAAAGAGAGATCAGATACCTTCAAGATAAGGATTAAAATGTCCCTGTTTATCAAAACTGATAGTTCAAAAGATAGATAGATAGATAGATAGATAGATAGATAGATAGATAGATAGA